TCTCTCTCTCTCTCTCTCTCTCTCTCTCTCTCTCTCTCTCTCTCTCTCTCTCTCTCTCTCTCTCTCTTGCGCCGTCGCTCGTTCGCGCGCACAAGTGCGTATTCCCGCCAGTTCCGGAACTTTATCGTATCTGCATCAGCGCTCCCAACGCGAAAGCATTATCGGGCACAAACTGCTGTAAGAAAAAACGCGAGCGAGACGGGCGGATCAGGATATGCCACGGAAAGATGCGCCGCGGGGATGGGTGAGGAGAGAACACACGTCCTGTCGCTGTCCCCAATATGAAAATAATGACCATCAGCGGCAGACTGACGATGACGGGGAAGAACCGTGTGTCTCTCCCCCCGGCGCAACGTTCTTGGCCTGCCGGCAACATCCGAGGCGCTTTCTCTTCCGTCTTCCCTGCTCTGCAGACGACGCGGACCATCAATCAAACCAGTCAATCAATCAAATCAAGTCCACCAAACCGATCAATTCAATCGCTCAATAACAACGATCGACCAACTCCCCAACTGGGTAATCAATCATCAACCACATCATGCAAACCAATCGCTAAATCACACACACACACACACACACTTGACAACCCATATAATCATCGTTTGCCAAAGAATTCACCCCCACCTGCACTTGAATTAATGAATTGCTGTTGCACAGATCATGTGGACGGACAGCGGGTGGATAAATCTTCGAGATGATCGATGATCGATGAAAGATGACGACCAACCACTGCCTGTGAGCCGCAATCCACGCCTAATTGATGTTCTCAAGGACATTAAGATAGCGACGCTGAGGTCAGGGACATGGCTACAGGCTAGGTTGGATGTGTCTGCCAGTGGAACTGGCAAGAACTACGGTAGGCCGTCCGCACTGACTGACAAGAATCTCCCGAGCGAGCCCGCCCGCACATACCGTAAGGAGGCCGCTGCGTTGAAGAAATCAGACAACGTCTCACTCGGCGACTAAATAAAGCGACGTCAATTTGTTTCACTTGTCTCGTGTCGATCGATTTACACCAACGCAACGCACAACGCGAGCACAACCCTCTCTGCGAAGGATTACGCGGGTGAAGAACATACATACTGCAAATATGCAAACAAAATGGTGCAGGCCCCCTTCGTCTATTGAGCCAGTGCCTGTCCGACCTGACTCCCCTACCTGTCAGACCAGCTGGGCCACGATCCAGCCCAGGTACAACACCCTGGGCTACCCGAACCCGTGGTCTCAGTTCGCTGCTCGTGTGTGACGTCGTTGATGTGTGCCTCTGACGTCAGATGCACTGGCTCTTCAGACATCTCGTCCTTCACTTCTGCACCTGCTAGCAAACCACCCTGCTGTAGGGCCTCGCCACACCACTTTTGAAATGTGAAAAAGACAAAAAATTGGCGGCCGCATCTGGCCATGTTCTACCGGGAAGTTCATTCTCAGTTTGCACATTTCGAGCGTGGCGTGGCGACGCCCATGCCCACCACGACGCTCCACCGGCATCCAGGAAGCAGATCACCCACGATCAGCACTAGGGGTTTCCTGACCTATGGTTGGATCCCTCCTCTGTTGGATGTCTCCTCTTGGGGTTTTGGTTGGCGGCTTGTTGGAACTGCGCTCCTTGGTTTCACTTTCCGTCGGTCACGCCTTTTGATCTGCAGACGGGTGACCTGGGACAAAGTTTCTGTGGCTCTTCGGATAGAGATGTGACTGGGGTAGAGCCTTGCCCGGGCAGATTAATGTTGATGGTGCAACGGTGAGGGGGGCAACCCACCACCGCAGCTGGCTGAATTGTATTGTATATATTATATATATGGTATATATAGTATAGCTGGTTGGCGGACCTCTGCGGCTGTCGCCGCTGGCAGTCTGCAGCACCTTCGCTTGCCGTGCCCCTTCATTTGACAGCGGGCAGCGTAATGTACCTGCAGGTTTTATTCTTTTTCTTTTTGATCCCTGTTTTACAGAACGAGAGATTCGACCTTCAACCCTTCTGGTTTGTGCTGGTATTAGCGCCTCGCTGCACTACTCTCCAAATGTGCAAAATGAAAATGAATACTCCGCTAGAACATGGAAGTATACATTGCCATATTTTTTGTCTTTTGTGCATCTGGAGAGTAGTGCAGCGAGGCCCTTAGTCTGCTTAGTCTTTCGGCAGAGGTTGCTGACAGCGCGAGGATGGCCTCAGGACGCCCTCAGTTAGGAGTTGGGCGTTCACTTGCGGCAGATTTTAGGTCCAATTCACGAAGCAGTTTGGCTACTTCCTTCCGATTTCTACAGTGACTGAACGGGTTCGGCCTTCGGTCAGTCAAAGGCTTCCTGGGTTTTTGAGTCAGCGATTTTCTTCGAAAGCGCACCCATCCTGCTTTCAAATCAGCCACCGGTTGCGGCCTCGTGGCTGGACCGATGCCTTGGACCGGGACACAGTGGGGGGATGCAGAGGTGGGAGGATGCAGGGGTTGGACGAGAAGAGTAAACGCTAGGGACAACAGGGTAAAGGGTAAAGGGTAAATTGTCCACCGCGTGGGCGCGGTAGCCAAATCAATGAGACTAAGAGCTCGCACAAGAGAGAGAGAGAGAGAGAGAGAGAGAGAGAGAGAGAGAGAGAGAGAGAGAGAGAGAGAGATATCCA